TGACCTCGGGAGACAAAACAACACCAAGAGGTCGGGCCAGTTTGCCCATCGACTCCATCTTGAGGGCATGCCAAACTAGACCTCCCGTATCGTCTCGCATACGGCCTCAATTAGTCAGCAGCCGTATGGGGCACGGGCAATGAACGCAGATAACCTATGCCGTACGGGCCACAGTCACACACCCTTAACCCAAAATGTTCATTTTACCCTTAAGTCAAATCGGAAGCTCTAATTCTTTATCTTCCTCAGTCTGGTCTTTGCCGCCCAGGTCTAGTCTAATCTTCATCGATCGGTGATCTTCTTCACCCACCCCCTTCCCCTCATCAATATCATCTAGCCCCGCCATGAATCTCACTGTTGGACGTTCAACCTGAAAGAGAAAAACTAGAAGAGTTGGCCGCCATGAATCTCACCACCCAGATCCAGTGTTGTGTCTGACGGATCTTAGCGATTGCGGAGAACACGAGCCCAAAGTGGAAGGTTTCTCGTTCCACACACACACACATTGGGGTGCAGAGATGGCGGAGAGAATAGGGGGTGAGAAGGACGGACTAAAAACCGAGGGAAAGGAAGAAAAACGAAGGAGAGAAGGATGGATGAAAAACCGAGGGAAAGGAGGAAAAGCAACGAAAAAAATGAAAAATCGCAGACTGGATCAGCTGCAAGTTGCAGCGACGGATTTGGTAACCGCTCAGCCATGCTTGTCTTGAACGTCTGTATTCCTACATCAGTTGAAGTCGTTGTAGCGGCGGCTCTTCCACGTTCTCTCTCTCTCTCTCCTCCTATTTCACTTCCTCTGTTCTGCCACTGCAGTGTTCGTTTGAATGTGTCTACCTGCAGAAGTCGAAGTCGTTGCAGCGGCCTGTATCTCTCTCTCCTCTCTGTTTTTCCCTCTCCCATCCTATTTCACTTTCCCTGTCCCAAACCCACCTCACTGTTCTCCTCTTATTTCATTCGAACCAATACCTTCTTATTGTGGCCATGGTGTCCCTGAGCTCGTCTCTTTGCTTGTACTTCTTTCATCTCACAAGAGAAGAATTCCAAACCTCACAAATCATGGTTGTCGACATCTCAGAACAAAAGCCTCACAAATCCAGACCTCATTGTTTCTGAAACATTTATGGGATGAGAAGAACAAAAAATCGGGGCTTTCAAAAAGTGCGGAAGCTTCGGTTCAGTGGTTCATTAGCGATAAGGCTCGTTGTTTAAGAAAGAGAGGAAGGATAAGAAAATTATTAGAGAAGGGGGAATTTTACAAGTTGTCATTCGGTTGATAAATCGAACACAAAGGAAACAAAGGAAACAAGTGTTAGCAGGGAAAAGCAAGGAGAAGATACGTAACTAATCCTGGAACCCTAAACCTATACTTCTTCTCTCTTTGGTGTGAGGAAGAGAACGGTGATGAAATATAGGAGAGAGGGAAAGAGAACGAAGGGGACGAATAGGAAAGAGAGGGGCGGAGGTGGAAGGGGTTATCCCTGCCGCTGGTTAAGAACCGAGCAAGTTCGGTTTGCCACTACTGAAAGGAAGAAGATGTGTGGGTAAAATTGGATTTTAAAAAATTATACATCACATGTGTAAAAGTGTAGACGGAATATTAACAGATCGTAATAGAATTAGTCAATTGTCAAAAACAACAAGGGTACTTACAAGACAATACTAAAACAAAACAATAGGGTAGACTTAATCAATTTGTAAATTAATCATATGTTAAATTAATTTAGATTATTAATTTGTATTTTCCTTAAAAAACAAAAACAAAATATTTGTAGATTATCTCACATTGTGTACGGTGTGGTCTAAACCACACCACATCCTATAAAACACCTATATGGGTGTGGTGTGGTTCAAGCTACCTATTTTTGTCCACATTGTAAAATACGTATTCTGTTGTGGCATGATGTATTCTCAACCACACTACGTGGTTGAAAATTCATCACCCCATTTCTCATTCACACAATAGAATGCCCACTAAAGTGGTGTGATGTGGTTTGAAACACATATCTCATGTATTCATTATACCACATTTTGCTTGGCATCTCACAAATAATACAAGTTAAAAAGCAAAATACATAAAAATAAGTCCTAAATCTAACGCTGAGGGCCGAAGGCTGTGTTTGATTTGAAAGAAAAGGCAGGAAACCTGATACACATGACAAATTTGGGTGGCAATTCCCGGTCTATAATACCGACACCATCATGTTCAACCCATACCAACAAGAATGCCCCGCGGCCGACTGGTGATGCTGCTGTTGTTACTATAGTAGAAAAAATCATGGAGGATTTAGAAGCAAATTTTTGAGCGATATGTAATAGAAAAAACCAATAAGAATTTCTTTTTAGGTTCCGAAAACAGGAACTAAAGTTTTGTCAAGTTTAATTAAGATAAAAAAAAAAACAAGGAAAAAAACACAGGAGCCTATTATGTGAGTTCACACCATCATGCTAAGCTGAAAATTCCATATATAGACGCCTAAAGGACCTAAACCAAAATATAACAGAAAATTCTTGTTTCACTTCTTAAGCTTTCTTCGCAACAAGCTTGTCGATCAGATCCGCAGCATCATTAACAGTGGCGATGCTTTGGGCATTCTCCTCTTCCACGCTGATTCCAAATTCCTCCTCGAGTCCCATCACAATCTCAACCTAAGGGATGACATTTCAATAGGAATTAGGGAGAATAAGGATGAATACTAGGAAATAAAAACTTTTGAGGGAGAGAGAAGCAGCAAATAGAAAAGCATGACAGRTTCTGGTCCGAACTTTGAAATAGAAGGTGGAGTGAAAAAAAAGGCGATAATTTATGATTGTGGGGCTGGACCCGTTTGGGAGGCCTGAGCTGAAGATTCAACTAAGCTGATTCAGCTTAGTTGCCTCCCCACAAAGCGTGACCCGTTTGGGAGGCCTGACCCGTTTGCATTGCCTCCCCACAAAGCGTGCCCCACATCCATCCCACCGTGCATTGAGAACATCTCCCGTACTTGTCATGTGGAGATGTTCCCAATGCACATGGTATGTGCTGTGGGGAACGGGGTGTGCTCTTTGGAGAACCAATCTGAACTCAGTTTAGCTGCTTTGAAGCATTCCTTATAAGTCATTCCTAGAGGATGAAGCAGACAGCCTTTCAGATGTCTTGAGTCCCTTGACCGACGGCCAATTTAGTTTCTCTGGATTTTTCACCAAACAAAGCTTATAAGCTATCCAAGCGGGGCAAAATTCAGAAAGCCAGAAGCTGCTGTGCTTCGGCCCTCCCAAACAGAGGCACTGTATAACATCTACCATTTGCCTAGTTTGTAATCTAAGAAAAGGTACATGTGAGATGATAAAATGAAATCAGGAGGAAACGATATTTCATATGGATAAAAAAATAATTTATTAGATGAAGTTGGGTATACAACACAGTAAGGACAAGAAATGGCAATAAATTTGGTAACCATTGAACCGCCAAATAGAAAAGAAAAGCACATGATAGAAATCATTATGGCCATGCCCAGAATAAGAGGTTGATATTGTTGATATAAAAACTAAAAAGGCTTGTGGGAGGTTGTCAATTACCGTGTCAAGAGAATCAGCACCGAGATCAGAGAATTTTGACTCGCCGGTCACTGAAGAGTCAGCTGGTAGTGCCAACTGTTTCCTCACTATTTCACAAACTTTTTCCACCGTATCTGGTTTTGCCTAATCAAAGACATGGACACCCTAAATAGTCAGAATAAGCATTACAAGGTAACAGCACACCAACATGCATACAGAACTAGTGTAGATTGTAAATGTAATAGTGCTAGAATTAGTGAATTCAAACAAATATAAGAGTGCTTCCACATAATCTTGTAGATGAGATATGGCATGGTGAGGTGAAGCATATCATTATGCATGGCAAAATCTCACATCCACCACCTGGATGCACTGTTTTACAAATTCACCCAATCAATACTCAAGCTTATCACCTATCAAAAATAGTCTTCACTTGGGTCAGACCACCAAATCAGTGTAGCAAATCCTACCCCATGCCATGTATGCAGTGCTTTGACATTTCTCCTCACATGAAGTGAAGCAGAATGAATTTAATGTAGGAGTAGTCGGAAAGCCACTAGCTAGGTTGACAATACATCCTTTAGCATGCATATTTCTATATTTATGTACTTTACAATATTTTGAAACTAATTGCATGGAATTCTAGTTCTTAGAAATGCTTTGAAAGCTGGACCAGACTGCTTGAAGCAGACCGGGAATAGGACAGTTTTTACGCTTAACCACTTTAGAGTGGTTTCGGGGGTTATTTGACAAACGTCCAATTGCAACAGGATTCAGGGATTTGGACAGCTTTATGGTACAATTTCCACTCCAGTTTTCAAAATATTGATTTTTACAGCAATGAATACCAATTGTTGAACAACCACATAGTCTAGATCTCATTTCAAACTAAGAGTTCATTGTAGAACAACCACATAGTCTAGATCTCATTTCAAACTAAGAGTTCATTGTAGAACAGTGCGAAGTATAATCTCTGCAACTACTGATTGGACAAATACAATAGCATAGAAAAACTATAACAGAATAAAGCAGTATCAGGACCAAGGCAACTTACAGCGCAGGAAAAACGATGGAAACGAAGTGGCACTGTTCGCAACCCAAGAGATGGAAAGCTTTTTCTTTGCATGGAGAGTGAAACTGATCTGAGACCAGTTGCCTACAAATAAAATTCAACCACAACAACCAACATCATTACCAAATGCTGGAAGCCAACCGATGTGTGAAACCAGATCAGAAAGAAATACCTAATATTACCATGTTGACATTAAGATAATGCATATTATGTAAGATGCAATACATATCATACAGTTTTTACAAACATAATTACATCTTATTGGAAATAATTATAGCATGTCAAAACTGAACTAAGATACCGAATAACAATTGTTATAAATATTTAACACTATGATTGTTGTCAGATAGAAGAGGGTATCATTTCCACATGTGTTGCAACAAAACTACTACTGGTTATAAGGTTGTTGCTATGCCATGGTCCCAACTGTCTACAGCAAGATACAGTAGTGTCACAAAAAAAGACATACACACAAATAAAATGTCCAGAACTTGTTACTAACGTACTCGTGCATATATACAGCAACAGTATTGAGTATATTATGCCTTGAAGTCTGTCCACGTGTGCTCTACAGTTGAGATTAACATGTAACCCACAAAATATCCAACAAATTCAGAACTCCCCCTTCACCCAAACTGTTAGGCCCGTTCATTTTTAGGATGTTGAAGGGAAAGCTAATTCCCATTGATCAAGATACTCATGTTCTATTTTAGATTTACATAGAGCCTACGTAAAATTATTTTTACAAGTAATTAACTTTTTCATTTAGGAGAAAGTTGCCAACAGGGCCTTATGGGGACGTATATACACATCAAACGTTCCTCACCGAGTCAATATTCACATATATGATTCTAATTAGCAACTTGGTTAGGTTAAAACGACAATAACAAGGTGATGCCCCACAGAAAACACAATTAGGCATCGGAAGTCAATTACATGGATAAAATAAGATCGGATTTGGTCCTCACAGAACCATCCTCACATCCTCAATGCACGGCTGAAAGAGACTGCGAGTACGATGTGCGGACCAAATCCGATTTCGGATAAGAGGGTATCGTTATATCCTAAGGGAAGAAAGCGGGTCCTTGGTTGACGATAACTTAATATAAAGATTTCGATTGAAATACCTTGCAAAATAGTAACATAGAAATCAGGACCTAGTAGAGATGGCATGCACTATGCATGGTTTCAGGGTTTTTAAAAAGTTTCCTAGTATTTATAAACGCTTACATGGTATTGCAGCCCCAGCCCCAAACGGGATTTCCTACCCACATTCTACCCGCCGTGGATTGCAGACACACATCTCTATTATAGATTGAGAGATGTGTGACTGCAATTCACGGCAGGTAGAGAGTGGGTAGGAAAAGTGAGTAGCAAATCTGGACTGCCCCAGCCCGAGGAAAGACGTGCCAAATTTGTCTTTCCAGTACGAATACCCAGTACCTGTGCTTCTCTACATAGTTACAAACACCTATCCCAAAAAATAATAAATAAATAAATAACAAGCATTCTTAACCAAAATGAGCTCGCCTGCTGCTTAAGAAGGCAACGGCAGACTGCAGACGATCTTTTGTCACTGAAGGATGAAGGGGAAGTATGCATCAAAGTCCCTTAGGCCCTTATAGAGACTTCGTTGTAGAGCTACACTATTGGCCCAGGATCGCTAACAATTTTCTCAAATCGATCATCATAACAACTCAAACCAAGTGAACAAAGCAACAAAAATTACCAAATGAGTATTCATAATCTACACTAAATTAAAATCGAACTCCTACTATGAACCATAAAGACATTAACAAAAAATTATCGACAGCATCAATCACTTCGAAAACAACTATAATCACCTAAATGTCCTCTTGATCTATAATCAAAGAACCAAGAGCAAAAACACAACCCAGTGTAACAAATCCTAAGTCATAAATCTTAAAACAAACAACGGCAGAGGGAAATAATAGGGAACGGAGAGATGATGATACCTGGTTCTGCTGGAGCAAACGCGAATGAGAGGGGAGAGAGATCGACGATCCTGTAACAGCCGCCATCGGTCGACTCGAACAACGAATCTCTGAAAAGAGAAGGAGAGATCTGAGATTCTATGTGAAGGAGAGGAGGGACGGACGGAGAAACAGGGAGAGGCGGAGAGCACGAAGCCTGTGAGAGGTGAGGGAGTGCAAAGAGCAAAACAAAATACTCACTTTAGTGAGTTTAAATAGGGTTTTATCGCTATGGTTAAACCGAAATGTTTAGGTTGGGCCGGACCGCTGGAGATGTTCCCTGTTCACCCGGCCGTAGCGTATCCGCTGGAGCCGGATCTCCTGAAAGCAAAAATCATGTTAATACCTTGAATGGTACAATATTAATATTGATACAATATTAATACGTTGAATGTCCGAAAAAGTACGGACAGGGAAAATTTTTTATTTCCACCGCAGAACTATAAACATTCAAAATGGCAATAATCCATCCTGCACTGCCAAGCACAACAAATAGATATAATCATTGTATGGTATTGCTCTACAATAGATTTGTTCATGGACTGGCTCAGGTTTATCTTTTGTAAAAATTCTAGGGATGGATTGAATCTTGAATATGAATTGATATTAAATCCAGGAGTAGAATGAGATTTATAGGGGGTCTATTAATAGACTAAGAGGTGGCTGTAATTTAAGATTTCTGAGGGGGAATTAGACCTACTTACCCCAGAATTCTAACGGGTAGGTTCGAAAGCCAAGCCTGAAACTGTGAAAATTTGAACCCTAAACTGGACCCCTGAACAGGCCTATTTAACAATAAACCATCCATCATCACCATTGTCTCTCCTCTGAGTTCTCTCCTTCTAACATAAACATACATGTATCATAATGCATTATAATATAGATCAGGATGGAGTCTGGATATCCTGTACATGTCTTCCTACACATTTTCCTGCACGACCTATCAGAGTGATACACGTCAACATCCTGCGGATTAAAAAATTTATACATGAGAAGCATGAAATACCACCACACGGTTATACATGCTTCTCATGTATAAATTTTTTAATCCGCAGGATGTTGACGTATATCACTCTGATAGGTCGTGCAGGATGTTAACACTAAAAGATGCTCCTTCAAAAAACACATTAAATAAAAGTTATAAAACAAATGAGAAATAGCGATGAAGATAAATCAGAAGGTTTCCCCCAAGACGATCTTGCCAATAATTTAGGAGCTTATGATAGATAACTACAGTTTTGATCTTGCTACTGAGCTAGTAAAGGGGAGAAGAAGAAAAAAATGGAAAGCAGGGCAAGAGAAAAGAGCATTGAGAGAGAGAGGATTGTTTACTAGCAATGATGGCAGTGATTGGAATGGAAACTTCTCATCCCTTCCTTTCTCTCTCTGGTTTGATCATCAACAACGAAGAAAAAGAGGAGACCCATCTCTCTCTCTCCCCTTCTTCTTCTTCTCTCAACACCACTTTGCTCCTGTTTTTCTTCAATCTTACATCTTCTGCAATTATTCCATTTATGTAATAAAAATCATGTCATCCTCGGAATAAAAGATTACAAAGAAGTTACGGATGAATTCAATGGCCTCAAGCTTTCGTGGTCTTTCAATCAAAACTCTATCACCCAGGTTTCAGATTACCATTTTTATTCTACTGTTGATGACAGCTTATTCTACACATTCACATTCCATAAAGCGTCGCCCGAAACTTATCAATGGCTCCCTCTTTTTTTGTTTCAATGAATTTTAAATTTAAAAATTTTGGGAAACAAAGAAAAGGAAGTAATTTCTTTCTGACGCACGTACAAATCCTTTAACCCATATAACGTTAACGTGTCTCACTTTAATAGGTTGTACAGGGAAATGTATAGAAATAAATGTACAGCAGTACAGGATATCCGGACTCATCAGGATGTCCAATGCATCAACCCTAACCCAGTCGTATTTTATATTAGGTTAACATTTTTCAACCCTAACCTAACCTAATTGTTGACCAAACCTTATTTTTCCTGGTTGGGTCGAGGTGCATCCTTGTGCAAGTAAGGAGTTTAGAAAAAGTGTGTAGAATCTGAACAGAGGAGACCGATCGAAGAGTGAGAAACTTTTAAACTTAGGCTCAGTTTTGGAAGGAGTAGAAATATAAATATGTATGTATTTGTATTTATAATCTTTTCAAATTGAGCTTTAAGTAATAGCTTAATCCACTATTTATTTGGAAAGAAAATTTGTAGCACATATTTTATGTTTACGAAAAGAGTGTATCAATGTAAGGTTGTTCTTTGTACAAAGTGGAAGGATGACAGGGACAACCTGAGCAATGGACAAAGCAGGGATAGGGAACCCTTTGGATTAGCAAAGTGATAGTTGATAGTTCATACCAGCCTATACCCTACGTGATTGCATTAGCCCCTCTTTATTAGTGTTGCCACCTCTTACAAGTGTTAATGAATTATTGGATTTTGAAGGTTTTCACATGATTATGTCTATATACAGATGGCAAATTTTTTCCGTCATCGCAAGGTACCCGGCCTCCCTGACTAGATGGGGTTAGGGATGGAGATTGCCTTGGTGGGTATGGGGGCGGRGATGGGGATCAATAGGAACCCTTCCCGATTAGGAATACAAATGRATCGGGTCAAATTTGAATCAAGGTATATTCAAATCTATTCGGGTAGACCGTAGATCTAGTCGAATCTCACCAATATTGATTTGGATTCAAATTTGATAAGGATGTCCGATATCTAAATATAATTTGATCCAATTTAATTTCTTTAAAAAATAATAAATTATTAAAAGAAACAAGAAAATATAACATTTTAAATAAAGAAAAAATAAAATATTTCCTAGCTATTTGTAGCAGAGAGAGAGGGAGAGAGAGATCGGATCCTTCCAAATCGGATAGAGATGATCTGAATCGATCCAATTATTTGACCCGAACTAATCGAAATCCGAAATGAGGGTATTCGAGTCCAACAAAATAAGATCTGACTTCAGATTGGATTGGACCATTTCAAAGATTGGAATCCCTTTGAAGAATCCATCTAGTCAAGAATCGGACAACTTTTACCTCCCATAGGAATCAGGGTGAAGGATGGGGATTTGTTTCAAAATCAGAATTGGGAAGGTTCTTCAAGGCTTGGTTTTTTACAATTCATTAAAAAAATGGTGAAAGTAATTAATGTTGCAACTTCCAACTAGGGGTGGCAACAAGCCGAGTTTTTCACGAGCTGCTCGAGCTCAGCTCATGAAAAGCTTGGCTCGGCTCATGAGGCTCACGAGCCGGCTCGAATATATATATATATATATATATATTATAGAAAATAATATATATAATAAAAATATTATAATTCTTAATTTTTTAAATATAAAATAAAAAATTATATAATTTTTATTTTTATAAAATATTTTTGTAATAAAATATATTTATAAAATATAAAATGAGTCGAGCTGAACTGAGCTCGAGCTTATTAACTTTTGACTCAAGCCGAGCCCGAGGTCAAGGTTCTGGCTCGAATCAAGCTCAAGCCTAATACTATTCGGCTCGGCTCAGCTCGAATCCACCCCTACTTCCAACTAAAACAAACAGTCCCTTTACTATAGCATTAATAAGCATACACAAATTAATGAATTATATGCTGTGGTATTTAATATACTGTTGCTTATTTTGGTAGGAAATTGAAAAAATAAAACAAAAAATGTGGGAAACCATTAATTATATTATCACAGGTGTGTGAGCAGACTTGTAGTAATAAAGAGCGCAACTAACTTACTTTGGTACTAGCAAATGTGTATGTGAGTGCATATGGCAATTTCAAATTATGATAAAAATGATAATAATAATTTCAATGTTTTTCATCAAAACCCATGTGAAAAAGATAATTAATGAAACATGTTATTGGGGGATTAATTGGCTCGACCACACAACATGGTGACCCAACTAATTAAACCTTTGAATTGTTTGACCTATTTAGTGGGGTCATAGGTTGGACTTTAATTCTCTTTTTTTTTTCTAATTTTTCTATTTTATTTTCATCATTAATAAAAATTAGTTTTTATTATCATATTTTTTAATATGATGAATACATAATACTAGAGGCGTGCCCTTACTTTTCAATAAAATTTTATATTTTTACAACTTATTGTATTTTTATCTAATGTCTTTTATTTAAATTTTATTTATTTATCATGGTTGAGCCATTCAACCACTAGCCTAGCTACCACCTAGATGGAATGCGAAATTATTACCATTACTAGTAACAAAATAGTTCATATTTTTCACACATATTTTTGTTTAATAAGATGAATATATAATATTACAAATGTGCCTAAATGTTTTTTATAAAATGTCTAATTTTATGTATTTATATTTTTAAATATTTACTAGTTAATAATGACATCATAAGTTAACCTATTTAGCCTAAAAGATTGAATTGTTGACCCACCACTTAGACAAGCAAACAATTTCATTTTCAAATCGGTTTTAAAATATGTTTTCATTTACATGATTAATAAAAGCAAGTATTGCTTATCACATTTATTTTGTGTAATATTGTTGATGTATAATATTAGAGATGTGTCTAAAACTTTCTTACTTGTATTATTCCTTGATTTATTTTATTTTATATTTTAAAAACTTTTATTATTTAATTATAACACCATAGATTAACCATTTGATCCAAATGGTTGAACCACTTATCTGACACTCATATAGGGAAATAGTTTCATTTCTAAATTAATTTTAAATTTTGTGTTCCATTTTCATCATTAATAAAGATATTTCTTATTTTTGTTTAATATCATGAATTATATTAGAGATGTGATAAAAAATCTACAAAGTTTCTTTATTTTTGTATTTTATCTATTTTTAAATATGGCATCATGGGTTCACCTCCTTGACGAGAATGGTTGAATTTCATACTCACTACATAAAAAGAAAAAAAAAATCTGTTTTGTTTCCAAGTTGGCTTAAAAAATACATGGTTTATACTATTGAAATTATTGTTGATGGATTAAGTTAGTGGAATTTAATGATTATTTTATTTGTTTGTTATTTTTTTTTAATTTTAATTTTAGTATTTAACTATTTCCAAGTCGGTTTTAAAAAATATAGGCTTGTATGCTATTAAAACTATTGCTTATGGAATTAATTAGTGGAACTTAATGATATGAAACAAAAGTACGTCAAATTAATATCTTAAATATGGGACTTAATGAAAGGGAATAGAATAAACTAAAAAGTAATATTCAAATTACAATTTCTACATTCACAATGGAGATGAAGCAAATTTGAAAAAGAAGGGTATTTTAGTCAAGAAAAAACCCAAGTCTTGGAAGACTATCCCCAGTTCTTATAGTAGTATAAGTAAAGGTAATTATAAATCTTCTTTCTTCGTCTTAATTTCCCTCATCCTATGTGATGTAATTGTATGTAGTGTTTCACTTTGCAAAAAATCCAAGGGTTTGTTTGGTTCTCAGTTGGAAACAGGATTGAAATCAAATGGACTTGAAATCAGAAATTGTATATTTCCCCGCCTATTTAGTTTAGATGGAAAATGAAAATCAAATTATATAAGATATGAATGACTTATAAGGAGAGCTGGCATTAGATAAAAAGAAATTTGTATTCTTTTAATCTATTTTGTGGGGGGTGGGGAGGATTTTAACTCTCTCTCTCTCTCAAACATGAAGCTTGAGCCACCTCAAGCTCCAAATTTGTATTGATGCAAAACTATAACAGTGCAAGGCTATGTTTGGTTACAATGCAAACAAATTTGTATTGATGTAAAACTATAACAGTGCAAATGATTTGAGTGTAAATTCTGACCTATTTTTGTTATAAAATAATTTTAATCTATTTTGTTTTGATTGCAGTACAAATGAAGCAAATTAAGACATGGAGCAGAATAAAATAAAACTTAAAACAAAGTTAAATGAGAATTTATATTTTTTTCATTTGCACTCCCATACATTTATACTAATACAAATAAAATTGTACTGCAACCAAATGAAGCATAAGAGAAAACTTGTATCCAAAGCAAACCTTCACAACCACCATCCATAGAGGTAATCCAACACTTTCGATCGCCCTTTTACTATACTCGGTTTTTTTGTTAGGCTGTATTTGGTTGCAATGCAAATAAATTTGTATTGATGCAAAACTATAACAGTGCAAATGATTTGAGTGTAAATTCTGACATATTTTTTTGTTTCAAATTTTAGCTTATTTTGTTTGACTGCAATACAAATGAAGTAAATTAAGACATAAAGCAGAACAAAATAAAATCAAAAATAAAATTAAACAAGAATTTGTATTTTTTTCATTTGCACTCTCATGCATTTATGCTAATGCAAATAAAATTGAACTGCAATCAAACACAGCCTTATTTTCAAACCATAATCTTTGATTTGGTTTCTAACTGTCACCTTTGAGAACACCACCAAGCAATCCAAAAGCAGGGAGATCGGTAACGACATTTCTTTAATACACGCAAATGGTCAGACCTTCCAATCATATCCTCAGTTTGTCTCTCTCCGGCTAACAATGAGGATTTGCAAGTCTAGGAATTCCTACCTAAAGTTGGCAGCCAAACCCATAACCGTCAACGGCTCAACCCTGGTGTACGTGGGATGGATTCCAAGTTTCCACTACACTCGGGCTATATTTGATTTGAAGGAAAAGGTAGGAAAAAGAAACATAACCTAAAGTTTACAACCAACTAGAGAACTTACCAACTGAGTCAGTTTACACCTTTCCATGGCCAGTAATGATTTTCCTTCAGCCATGCCCATCCAAACGTGGAGCTTTCAAAACAAAGTCCGCAAATGGTATTTGTATATCCAAATTTGAATTCAAATTCGACCCAGTCACAGGATGACCACAAGTGTATATAAGTTTTTATACACCTATCTTATAAGCACATTCCACCGTGTTAATTAATATCTCCCCATAAATAACAATATATATATATATATATATATATATATATATATATAAACATGGAAGATGTTCTCAATGTGTGATTGAAGATGTTCCCCTATACTTTTGGAGGTAATGACACTTTAAGGGCCTTAACTTTCACTTATAATACTTTTAGAGATCAACATTCAAGTCCAGCTATTAGCATCTTCAGTTATTAATTTGGAGAATCCATGTAGCAAACTACAGGGTACTTCCCTGTAATTTCCACAATAACGTTGTGTTTTTAGTTTGTTGTTATAATTTTTGTGTATAATAATATCTTGAGTATTTTTAGTTTGATGTTATTCAATATCCAATGGCGGATGGCGGATGCCGCCRATCAGTGCAAGGTGCCAACTAGCTGGTTGGTAAGGTCTCTTGATGGTAATAGGCTCATAGCGGGGACTTGGGGTCAAATGCCATTTACACCTAAGTTGGGAGATGGGTTACCCGTTGTGTAACTCTTAAAAAGATATAAAAAAAAAATCAATATCCAATGACAATCCGAATTGCATTCGAATCTCATATAAATTTGTTGGTTACGTCTTCATTTTGTTGCAATGCAAATTTATTTACATTAATGTAGAATTATGGTAATGCAAATGATTTGGATTTAAATATTAATTTTATTTTTATTTCAAAATTTACCTTATTTTGTTTGATTGCATTACAAATGAAATAAAATAAGACCTGAACTGAAATAAAATAAAATCCAAAACAAAATTAAACTAAAATTTATATTCTTTTCATTTGCACTTCCATACATTTATACTAGTATAAATAAATTTGCGCTACAACCAAACACAGCCTTAAAGATAAAATTTGGATCCATCCAAATCGATTCCATCCGATCCGACTCGACTGGTTAGAGACCCTCCAAAACATAAAAAGCACGTACAGCTCCGAAGTCCTACTCACGATCGGTGCAACCGTCCACACAACCACCCCCACAATTTCCATACTTTCGCTTTCACTGCTTCAGAGTGTTTCAGACACCTAACGAATATAGCAAACATGAAACAATTCTCTCTCTCTCTCTCTCTCTCTCTCTCTCTGTGCTACTGCATTTCAAGGGTCACGACTCACGAGTGTCCTCGTCCTCTTGAAGCAACCAACACTTAGACGTTTCGTGAGAAATATCAATTTAATTATGGTGGCAAATTTCCTTAAAAAGTCGTCCCATCTGTGCCCTGTATATACTCTCAACACTGACTCTCTACCTAGGGTCCCTCGCCGGCCGGTAAGTTCTCTTGTCACTCTATCTCCTCTTCTTCTTTGTGGTTCTTCAGTGCTTGGCTTTATGAGATTTTTTGATGATTTTCTTCGGTTTGCTTTTTGCGAGATTCTTTACTGATTCTGTGACTTCAATCGATGTTGTTGGCGTATGGGTGGACTAATTTTATTTAGTCGTTGGCTTTATGAGATTCTTTAATGATTTTCTGCCTTCGATCGGTTGTTTTTTATGAGATTCTTTGATGATTCTGTGACTTCATTTGATGTTTCCATCGTCTGGTTGGTTGGACTAATTCTTATGTAGTCGTTTCGACCGATCTGAGTATATGTCTGGAAATTAGTGCTCTAACAGTTTCGGCATTGTCACATAGGGTTGGAGTGACTTCGAGCTGAATGTTATTTTTCATTGTTTTCTTGAGACCGAGAAGTCGTTGAAGTTGAATATGTAGTAATCTTGTTTACTGATTTTTCTCAATATATATATATATATATATATATATTTAATGTTCTTTTTGTCTTTTTTCTTTTCAATGTCTCCGCACCCCAAGGTTTATTTGTGAAAATTTGTCCCACTAGCGCATCAGTATGGTTCTTGTGTGTCAAAGTCTTCGGTTATGGTTGTGTGGATGCTATTTACCTTGTTCTGTCTGTATGTGCAGGCTGGAAATATTTGGAGTTTAGTGGATGTACTAACCTTCTATGCCAAGTAGTTTGGTTTTGGCTTCGTGTGAAGAGGAATGATGAGTCAAGAACTTTTGCAGATTCACCCCCGCGAACTAAAGTTCACATGTAAGTGCATAAGAACTGGATCTTTATGACCCCMCCTGCCCTGCTCATTTATTAATAATGGTTGTCATGGTTTTTCCTCTCTTCCGTGGTAAATGGTTTTTCCATTTGCAAGTGAGAATAAGAAGAGTTTTACATGTTTCCCTTTCATTGCTTAAAAAATGGAAAGCAGTTGAGTGTTTGCCATAGTTTTCAAAACAAAGGAGATTAAATCTGATGGTGTCTCAACTTATACTGGAAAAAGGATTTGAAGACATCAGGGACTAATTTTATCCTTTGTATGAGAACTTGGTGCTTTGGATAGAATTTCCAAATAATCATTAACAGTTTAACACTGAACTCTATGAATTTACACCAACTATTGAAATGCTTTGTTATGATAAGGAATGTGATCAAATGATGCTTCTGCTATTGGAGAATGTCAATATTGCATTAAATTACGTGAACTAGAATAACAATGAAAATTCATTAAGCTCGTATTCAATTTCAGCATTTCCTTTGAACTACATGCAATTATCCTTTGCAGAAGAGGAACTTAAGAATTGACTTGTCTGTACACAATGTATTTAAAGATGATAAGTTTCTTTTTTTTTGAGGGTGTACTTTTTTGGAGGTCCCTAATTGGAATATACATGTACAACATTTCATTGTACAGAGGACCACATACTTGTAGATATTAATACATTACACTTTACCTTTCTCAGAAAGAGAAAAAATCCGTTGCCACTGACATCTGCCTTCCATGGTTTCTGTATTTAGACCAATCTGATTGTAAATAAATTAATTGGCATATTTGAGATTTGGTTGTCTTAAATGATTCCTTCTCTGTTAAATGGTTTTGCATATATTAGTTGTGATTGATATGTCTCACTCCCATGGAAACTTCGTGTGGTCATTTTGCCTTCTGCATATAGTTGTATATTTCATGTATATGGCATTTTCTAAAAGATTTCGGATATTATCACTCATCACTTATGAGAATACTATATCTGTCCATGTTTGATAGCCTTTTCTGTCCATAGGCTCCCTCTACATGACACATTAGTCCACAAAACCATGCCCCCAGTACTGTTACTGGTGTATGAAGTCCATATGTACTTATGTGTCATGCAGAGAGAGCCCTGTGGATAGTACAGGCTGTTGAACATGGACAGTTAAAATTTTCCCATCATTTAAAGTGAGTATTGCATGAGTTGTTGGCTACACTTTATCAAATTTTTTGGTCGTGTTCAGATTGTTCCAAAAAACATGCCTGGATAGAGTGGAGACCTACTCTGAAGATGAAGTTAGGAGAGTTTGAACCTTTGTACTTTTTAAGGTGCTTGTCTGGATTATTGTGGCTTTTTCTATGTGCCATTCAGTGCAATAAGATAGTCAATTTGCATTGTGCAAATTGATTTAGTTCTGCTGTAGGGTTTTTTTATTTGAAATTCCAAAATCTCCAGATATTGTAGGTAGAGACCATAAAACTATGCATATTAACCAGTGTTGTAATACTTGGACTGGATGTAGAACCAGAATGCTTGCCAGATCATAGGTCAAATGGTTGGACCATGAGTCACATAAATAATACATATAACATAAGTGTGTCCCATCAGTGCCCTATCTCTCAGAACCAATTTGATATTGGGGTTATTTGAGTTCAGCCCACCTCAGAATTCATAATGCGATTGTACAGTTCAGGTCAGTGTTAAATGGGGAGGGGGGGATGGTGTTTATAGGGGGCTAACAATGTTTTCATCCAACCTGTCACTGGCCTACCTAGTAGGACCAGTGACATGGTCACAATTCTGGTTTGGGCCAACCTCTAATGGTTTAACCCACTATATTATAAAAAACTCTTGACTCGGATGACCCATCTGGCCCATTCAATGGGTCACCAGTTTTTGCAATATTTTAGTCTTTTTACAATTTTTTACAATGATGACATCACAAGCTGACCCATTGATTAAGACAGTTGAACTGCTGACCTGTTGACTAAGAAAAGTGGTTCTACCTCCAGGTTGGGTTTTAAACACTGTTCCAAAAGCCCCTTTAACACTGATATGACCATTAACTTGTAATAGCCTGGACATAGAAACTAGACATTATGCTGTAACCTGCAAATGTTAAAAAGCTATTAGAAAGATAGGATCCATTTTCTACCATCTGCAAATATCAAAATGTCAATATTCTTTTCAAATTTGTTTGATAATGCCATGACATTCTTTTGTTGCCTTGTTTTGCTCTTCATGTTGTCAAGTGAATTGTCAAACTTATGGTTTGAGGTAGTAACTTTTTTTTTAATGATTTTACCAGTTGAGTTGAAGAAGCAAAGCTCATGTTTGGTTCAACTCGTCAGTAACTCAGATCAATGTGTTGCTTTCAAGGTGAAAACAACTTTTTGAATGGATATGATGTTATAGATCACTTATTTCCAGTATTTTCTGCTCTGAACTTTTATATTCTCAATTACCACATAATTTCCACCTAATTATGTGTTTAAAAAATAGTTCTAATCACCTCTTTAACTTTCTTCAATTTCTTCTGCATTTTCTAACTTTATGTTGGTAAAGAAGAGTTTACTGAAATTAACTGGGGGCAGTGATTTAAGATGTCTAAACTTTCTTCTGCATCATTTCCTTTGTAAGAGGAAGTACAAAATGCAGATTTAAATATTACAAATTTCTAATATTTCTCAGCATTTATCTGGTATTTTAACTGCTTGATTTTGATGACTTTGCTGATATCACAATGCTACCACTAAATGTAGTGGATGTGTACTCATTTCCTGATTGATGGCAATCTAGGCATCTTTTTTTGCAGGTAAAAACTACTTCTCCAAAGAAATACTGTGTACGACCAAACATTGGCATTGTTCAGCCAAGGTCAACTTGTGATTTCACAGGTCAATGCCCTTTCCTTGCTTTATTATGGCTCAAGGACATAGAGAATCACTTTAATGACGTGAGTGTGCAACAATTGTGGGTGGCTGTGTGGATTTGTATCTCTTGATGTTTTTCTTCCTCATCTCCAGTCATTAAACAATCTATGGTAAATCTAATGGTGAAACTTGTTAACACCTACTAATCTCTTGTCCATTTGTTGCATGAATTTGGGAATAGTTCTTTGTTTTGTTTGGATGTAGGTGGACTATGCCAGTGGAGATGAATAGGCTGTTTGATCCAGCCTTTTATTTGGCTGAAGAAGAGAGGAAGAATCTTGTGGAGATGCACAAGGGAGCATTGGTTTGAAGAATTTTGGAATAAAGGAACACAAGAATGTTTTTAGAGAAGGAAAGAAGGAAGTGGTGATGAAATGTGTTATGACTGGGGTGATGGAATGCGTTATGCACAATGGATTAGTTTTTCATTTTTCTTGTATGATGATACTTGGAGAGATTGGGGGAAGGTGGCAAAAGGTTCTTCAAAAAAGAAGCCAGTATATAGAGTGTTACCTCCTATAAATGGCTTCATTAAATTAAACTTTGATGGGAGCAACCATGGTAATCAGGGCCCATTTGGAATAGGGGGAGTTTTTCATAGAAATAAAGATGATCAAATTACAGCTTTGTTTTCAGGACCAATTGGTGTTGGTGATTCTGTAAGGGCTGAAATCTTTGCTGTACTTCAAAGGGTGCAGTTATCAAGAGACAAGAACATAAACAAGCTGATTGTTGAAGGGGATTCTATGGTGGTGGTGGGCTGGTTAAGGAATCCAGAGGTTGTGGTTTGGCATTGCAAGGATGAASTCAAGAAATTCAAATGGTTAACTAGCAATATGATTAGAAGGACATAGTGGGTTCAGAGCTCAGCTAATGGGTTGGCTGATACCCTAGCCAAGGGGATAATTGTATTGGACTCAGTTATAATTTGAAATTAAACCGACTTGAGAGGGTGCAATTTGCACTTCTACAAGGGATGCTTCTACTGTTTGTATATATTTTGTTCCATGTTTAATAAAATTTTTACAGTTACTTATATGGGGCATGAATATGCATTACACTATAAAGTTAATGCAAATCAATCTGTTATTCCCCCAGAAGACTTTGAAATCATGAATTGTTAAGGAATGTTTAGGTAATGTCAAGATGATGTTTCAACAAATGACATAATAATAAAATGGAAGGAAGTGGCACAAATGGAAATGCATAAAGAAATTATCAAGATGGATTGGAAACCTCCAGGGCCAAATAAATTGAAGCTGAACTTTGATAGTAAACTGTAGCTTTATTCTCAGGACCAATTGGGTATGGAGACTCAGWTCAGGCAGAAATAATGACACTCTTGCAAGGCTTGAAATTAGAAGCTAGAGAGTTGGAAGTGAAGGGGACTCACTGTTGGTCATCTCTTGGGCTAAGCAAGTAAACTCAGCACCATGGAAGTATGGATTTGCATTCAGGGAGATTGATTTACCAGCTAAGAGCTTTGACTCTACATTTGGGTGGACTAAAAGGACAGCAAATGGACTGGCAGACACTCTTGTTAGACTCTGGAAAGTTCTTGTAATCTGTTTTTAAATTAATAAAAGTTTCTCTTTTGCTGATCAAAAAAATAATATGCCTCATTGTTTTGATCATGTTTTCTACACGTTTTGCACATTGAAGTTTTTTTTTCCTTGACCCCATCATGCCATGCAGCATGAATGTCTGAGGACCTCTTCACCAGAGGGGAAGGCATAAATAATTAAGATTGGTGATGCAACTTAAATAAGTTATTCTAGGACCATTGAAGTTCTCAATATGGAAGAAGACACTCACTACATTAAAATATGGCTCATATAATATTCTTAAATAAATACAAGATGGAAAAGAATTTCTTTCTCATATTGCTTAATGTGAAGGAAAAGAATAGGTTTCTCATGTGTTTCCTCTGCTGTATTTAGTATTATTTACCGACTTTAATTTGATTTCTCATGTTTTGTGTTTGATGTCAATGAAGTTACTATGCAAGCTCAACGTGAAGAGCCACCTGATCTGCAGTGCAAAGATAAGTTCCTAATCCAAAGCATGGTAGTCCCTCTTGGAACTACTGTAGAGGACATTACACCCATCATGGTAAGTATTGTTTGCTGTTGAAATTGACTTTAGGTTGTCTGTCAAGGCTTCTCATTGTTTCTTTGGCAGTTCACTAAAGATAATGGAAGATACATTGAAGAGAMTAAGTTGAGAGTTGTTCTGGTTAGCCCACCACGTTCTCCTGTACTTCTTCCAGTAAATGGGGCTCTGAAACAGGAACTTAATAATGAACCTTCAATTTTAAAAGGTCAAGTAATGAGTGGAGATGAGAACCTACCCCCGCTCTGTATGGTATGCATAGTAATTACTTTGCTTTCTAGTTTTGGTTTACCGTTCCTCCTATTTTCCACCCCTATTTTCGTCTACCAATTAATGGGGCTTTGAAGTAGGAGCTTTATTATGAAGCTTCAACAATTTTCAAGTATAAAGTGGGGTTTACCATACCTCTCTCTCTCTCTCCAATTACGGAACTTTCAGGAATGCAGATTGTGCACTGCAACAAAAAAGTAAAGAAAAAAGAATAACTGTAATACAACAATTAACTTGTATTTCGTATTTACAGGTCCTGGAGGAGGTTAAATCTACTAAAGGTGTAGATATGAAATCAGCTTGGAATGTGGAGGAGATGAAATTAGCGAAGGAAATTGGTGATTTGGAGTTGGGTAATGCCATTTTGGAGTTAAACTCAAAGATAGATGAAAGGGAATCAAAGCTAAGGGAGGTTAGTTGGTCTTTTCAACTCTCAATTTCCAAATTCTAACATAACAGCATGGTGAGCTGAAGTGAATGTGAGTTGTGCTGGTTCTCTAGGCAAATTATTGGCAACCGAATTCCATGCTTTGATTTAATGAGAAGAGAACCTGCTGGTATTGTTTTTTGTTGGTATATGTTAAAACATTGGTATAGTAATGAAGATGAATTTTTTTTGCAGGCAGGTATTGCTATTGCAAAGCTAAAAGAAGAGAGGAGCAGGATAACTCAAGAGTGTGAAGCATTATGGCAAGAACTAGTAAGCAATTTTTTGGGGACAATTGAGTATTTTCTTATCTTATTTGAGGTATTTCTGCTATTTTTCCATGGCCATAGCTTAAGCTATAAAACTATATAATGATTCCCATTTTTGTCCATAATCTGAAGCAATCATGTAAGACAAAGGAAATGCGTATGTCTATAAGAACCGACAGAAGAGTTAATGGTCAGGACTCAGGAGCCAGGTCCCAAACATAACATGTTTGGGTTATTTCCCAGTGAAATGGTGGCCACTGATTGAATGATCAGGATTAGGGGTGCAACTTGGTTGGGTTGTGAGATGAAATTGTGCTTGAAGTGTCATTGTAGATCATTGTAACACAATGAGCATGAAGTTCCAAATATTTCAGTTGCACCTCAATTGAACCTACAGTGAAATTCCACTGCTTCTTTTGTGTATGCGTTCTGATTTTCAAAGTGAAAATAGTTTTTTATTTTACCAGTTAAAATGCAAGGATGATACTGATCTTGCCTTGAGATTATATGCTTCCCGAGTTTGGTTTGTGACAGTGGTCATTGGTTTCTCTCTTTGCAGGCAGTGGTGAAAAAACAGAGTGGTGCTAGAAGAGTTCAGGTCGGGTTCCCCTTTCTGTTTGTTGTTATGATGGCACTTGTCAGTGTGGCGCTTGGATTATGGTTACGCTCTTAAAGAAAGGAATCTCAAGCGGAATTAGAGATAACTGAAGTCTGTAATTAGTCAGAGGTATAGAGAACAAACAGTTCTTCCCTGTCCTACAAGTTTCATATACAGTTGGAGGAGGGGAAACTGTATATAAGTTGTGGTTTCATTCTAGGGGTAGTTTGGTGAATTTCAACAGATGTCTGTTATCTTGTTTATATGAACAACTTACACTCCCTCCAAAATATTAAAATGAGAAATTTCGTATATGAGAAAGTAAATGATCTCTCAAGATGGGTTGTCTGGTCTTGGATCCAGTAGGGAAACTACCTCAGTTTCTTCCAAGGTCCAAAGACCAGCAACATTTCTCTCACTTGCTGCAACAAAACCCCAATCTCAAATTGCACCAGCTCAAGCAAATCCAAGCCCAGCTGCTCCGCAGATCACTCCACCAAGACAATATCCTCGTGGCAAAGCTGATTTCCGTCTGCTCTGCTTCTGGCACCATGGACTATGCAACCCGTCTCTTCAACTATGTTGAAGAACCCGATACTGTCTTGTGCAATTCCATGCTCAGGGGTTACACCAGAAATGGTCTCTTTGAACTAGCTCTCTTATTTTATGTACAATTGCTCGGTAAGGGATTTAAACCAGACCACTTCACTTTCCCTTGTGTACTTAAGGCCTGTGCTGCCATGCTTGGTACCAGTCTTGGATCCCAAATCCATGCCAGCCTGATGAAGAATGCTTGTGTCTCTGACAACATTTTCGTGCTGAATTCACTCTTGGATATGTATTTCAAGTCTCATCAGAAGGAATGTGCGGTTAGGGTCTTCTGGCAAATTGATGAACCCAATTCAACTTCTTGGAATATCATGCTTGCAGGCTTGTTGAACTCCGGTGATCTAGATTCTGCACAAAAACTGTTTGTTGAAATGCCTCAAAGAGACGTAATTTCTTGGAATACAATGATAAGTGCTTACGCCAAAGCGGGTAACTTAGAAACTGCTCAAAAGTTATTCAATGAGATGCCAAAAAGAAATTTGGTCTCGTGGAATGCTTTGATAGCTGGGTTTTCTCAAAATGGTTGGAACGATGAGGCACTATCAGCTTTTGCGCAAATGCTAAGATCAGGAATCAGTCCTGACAATACTACTATTCTTTCGGTTGCATCGGCTGTCAGTGGGGCCATTTCACCTGACCCTACTGCTGTTGAGCGTATAATCAGTTTTGCGAAGTCAACCAATTCCATCTCCGTTTCCACAGCGGTTCTTAATCTATATGCCAAGCTCGGAAGAATCGATGATGCAAGAAAAGTGTTTTATGAGATTCCTGAGAAAGATCTTGTGACATGGAATGCTATGATTGGGGGATATACTCAGAATCAAAGACCCGTGGAAGCAGTTAAGTTATTCAGGGAGATGCAAGCAGAGTGTAAGGATAGTGTTAAGCCCGATGGAGTAACCATGGTCAGCTTAATTGCTGCTTGCTCCCAGATGGGTGCATTKGGTTTGGGAGAGTGGGTGCACACATACATTGAGAAGAACGGGGTTGAGATGGATGTATTCTTGGCAACTGCTCTTGTTGACATGTATGCCAAATGCGGAGATATAGATCGATCTTGGCACCTGTTTCAGGGTATGCCCACAAAGGATTTGGCATCTTGGAATGCTATGATCAAAGGTCTAGCCATGCACGGGCAAGGAAAAAAAGCCCTTGAGATTTTTTCCCTGATGGAAAGAACTGGAGTAGTGCCCAATGATATTACTTTTGTGGGCTTGCTTAATGCTTGTAGCCATGGTGGGGGCTTGACAGCTGAGGGCTTGGAGCTGTTCAATTTAATGCAAAGCCGGTACAGCATTGTACCGCGGTTAGAGCATTATGGTTGCGTTGTTGACCTCCTCGGTCGAGCTGGAAGGTTGGCCGATGCTTATGAATTTGTGAGAAGCATGCCTATCAAGCCGGACAAGGTTGTCTGGGGAGCACTGCTTGGTGCATGTCGATCCCACCAAAATGTCAAATTGGCTGAAGAAGCAGTTCGTATGCTTGTTGAATTGGATCCCAGCCACGATGGGAATTATGTGCTCTTGTCAAATGTGTACGCTTCTGCAGGGAAATGGAGAGATGTTTCAAGGGTGAGGGCCCAAATGAAAGYTCAACAAGTGCAGAAGACTCCCGGCTGTAGTGCAGTTGAAGTTGGGGGCGTTATTCATGAGTTTGTTGCTGGGGATAAATCACACCCAAGATCTGAAGAAATCTATGCAGCTTGGGATGAGTTGGTAAAGCAGATTAAGCCGATGGGATATGAGCCAGACACAGGGGCCTTACTAAGGAACTTGGATGAAGAAGACAAGGAGGAGTCATTGTATCGTCACAGTGAGAAGTTAGCGTTAACGTTTGCGCTTATTAGTACAGAACCCCAATCACCAATTAAGATTGTGAAGAACTTGAGGATATGTGGAGATTGCCATAGAGCAATGGAGCTGGTATCCAAGCTTGAGGAGAGAGAAATAGTAGTGAGGGACCGTAACCGTTTTCACCATTTCAAAGCTGGGCTTTGCTCTTGTGGGGGCTACTGGTGAGGTGGAACCCTTGGCTTGGATGGTAGTTGGGTATCCTTTATCACACGCGTGTACCGAGCCAGATTGGGTCGTGTCGGGTGTGGGTGTGGGTAGGATGTTACTGTGAATGTGCAAGAAGTGAACAAGGTAAAACAGTAAATGCAGGAATTAAAGGACTTATCGACTAAGACATAAAAGTTTGGCAAAAATTCTAGGGATTCTAACCAATAAGGGCAATTTAGATAACTTTTTTGAAAAAAATATTAAATAAGGGCACGAGATACTGGTCACCTCCTTCCTCCTCCTGAAGCACCGAACACGGTGGCAAAGCTCCCCCACTTCCTCTCTCTCTCCCTCTCCCTTCTTCTTTTTCTTCTTTCACAATAGAGCAGATGATTTTTCATCGTTAACAATAGAGCAGAGCTGTGGTCTTTTTTTCAACTCGGCATTATCTAAACTTTCACAACTGATAACAGAGGTAGGGAAGGTCTGAAAACGATGCGAAGAAGAATAAGGGAGAGAGAGAGACCAGAGGTGGGGGAGGTTTGCCACCATTGTTCGGTGCTTCAGGAGGAGGGAGGTGAACAGTATCTCGTGCCTTTATTTGATATTTTTTCAAAAAAGCTATTCTATTATAAAAATTATTATTTTTATTGATATTAAGGGCAAAAAATTGCTCTTATCAGCTAGAATCCCAAAGTTTTATTACTGGCTGCTGATCGAATGCAACTCTCTTATCTCTAGGCTTGGGATTGGCGGTGCAAGACAAGTTCACACCAGCAAAAATCCAAACAGCAATCTAAAATTGAAGGTTTCCATTTATTCTTGTAACCTCAATCAATCCCATTTTTCAATGCTTCCAAGGGACAATATTTTTTTAAGAAAAATTAATGTTTTTAAATTTTTATATATATTTTTTTAAATCAAAAGGTTTATTTGTATTTGTATATAACTGTAGTTAACAAGATTATACACGTTACCTATGAAATATCCCAATTTTTTTTACTTTCAACTTTTAAATTAAAAACCTATTAAAGGTCATTATTCATTATTTTATGATATTGCATTTGTTTAGATGATTTTTTTATCATATTTTAATAACTTAATTTAAATAAGCTATGCTGAATACAACAAATTGAGAAACAACAATATTTTAATCTTGTAGTTACTTTATCTCCTATGATTTGTTGTTGTACACCATTGAATTTAATTCTTGTTTTTGTTTTTTAAGCCATAAAAAGAAAAGTCCATTCATTTATTCTCATATTACAAAACAAGATCAAACATTAGATCCAACCACAAAAACCGAGAGTATGGACAATATGAAAAGAACATTAAGAAACACTAGGAACATGAACGGAATAAATTGCTGTGAGAAAAGGCAAGTTGAGCACCAGGAGTAGATCAATCATGGCCTTTGCATACAACATATAAAAAGTTCAAAAATGCCAACACGAAGAATAATCTTCTTCCAACAGACACACAATCATGGTTTAAAGTATCGATACATCTCATATGCACGAATGACCATATTTGGTGTTTCAATACAACAAAACATCCTATTTTTAGTTTTTTTTTTCAAAATTGACCAGGGGATCGGTCTTAGGCCTGCTTACCCCTAAAATTGCCCAATTTCCCAAACCCTCATTATTTCTTGTATCAGACCTCATTAATAGATATGATACACCTGATATAGGGCAATAACCTTGGATGCAACTAGAAAGCAAAACTCTTGTAATAAAATAGACAATAAGGTGACGTTTGATAAATTTGAAATCTGAAATCTGAAAAGTTAAAAAGATATTAAAAGTGTTTGGAATCTAAAAAGAGGCATTAATGTTTTTCTACCTTTTAGAGGCTCTAAATATTAACCTTGTTTGTGTTGGACCAAACCTTTAACATCTGAAATGCCTTGATTTTACTATTTTACCCCTAGAATAGACTATTTGGTAAATTTGAGCTCAATTTGTACTATTTCATATAAATAAATTATTAAATTCAAAAATCATATTAAACATATAATAAATTATAAAAATAAAAAATAATTTATTGAAATAAGAATAAAATTGAAAAATACATATAAACTTATGAATTAAAAATAAATAATTAAAGTTAAAATAATAGCGAAATTAGTAATAATGTTTATGAAACAATGAGAAAATATTTAATAATTAAGAAATTAATATCTTAATACTATTAAAATATTTAATAATTAATAAAAAGTATAATAATTAATAATTAATAAGAATATAAAAATAATAAATAATTTATTAAAATAAGAATAAAATTGGAAAATATGTATAAATTTATAAATTAAAAATAAATTATTAAGAATTAAAATAATAATAATAATAATAATAATAA